CAGCAGGAAGATAGTTACAAATACGGTTTGTGGGATTTGAACTTCACTTTGGATTTCTGCAATACCTCAGCTGTTATGCATATGTACTAAGACTGAATGCTAACAAATCATTGCAGTAATACTTGATGTTCATATACAATTTCTCATCTTCAAAGCACTTCAAAATGTCCCAGAGGTTCTACAAAATCTGGGAGCGGGAGGAGGAGATACGGGCAAAAGCCTTTGTTTAGCATTGGTCTTAACATAAATCATAGTTAGTCCCTTTCTGCTTAGCACTATGGCAGGGATGCTGTAGTCTTCAGATTTAAGTCTGAAGTGCTAAACAATGCTAAATTGCCGATAACACGTTTTCACTAAAAAGTATTTAAAATACTCTTTTTTTTCATACGGACAGCTCTCTTCAGAAGTTCTGTTCTCACCTTTGAGTTCAAAACCAGGGAAACTTGTGGCATTAGCATAACGTGTTGGGAGATGAATTTATGTATCAAAATAAAGGACGTTTTGATTTCGGAAAGTTTTGATAACTAAAAAAAAAATCATATTTCAAAGCAATAAAACAACAAAGGCCATAACCAGGGATCTTGACGATTTTAAAAGATTAAGATATTTCCAAAAGGGTGGGGTTTGTTTTTTTTAAAGGTAAAACTAATAACTCTTCATGAAGGGCTTCGGTGTTGAAAGGCGAACAGTTAGCTTTTAACAGCTGAAAGGAAGCTGTCCCTCGCCTGCTGGCCGGCGCCGGCAAGAGGACCCCTGCTGGCCGCGCCCCCACCGCCCGGCCCAACCGGACCCCTCCGGAAAACTGGTTCAGCCTTTTTTTTTTCTTTCTTTTTTTTGGACCGGGCTGAGTCAGGCTTGCAAACTTTTTTCATTATCGCCATAAAAAACGGGGACGAAACGAAACAAAACTTAACTTTTTACTTAATGGGAAACAAACGTGAAATCGTAATGAATAAAACATTCTATTTCTCAAATATTCCGCTGAACTTGTAACGCAAGCCAGCCTTTACGCTTGAAAGCATGACTTGTATTCAACGTGCTTTCTAGGGCACAGAGTTCTGTAGCACAACAATTAGTACAGGCTATGATTTTGAAACATAGATGTTAAACCGGTTCTTCTGAGGTCATTTATTTGGTTAGATTCCTTGGAGTTTGAAACGTTTCTATGATGTCTGACAAAATATGGAAGCATTCTCAGATGAAAGGTTGCACGCATTCCAGACAGATTTCCACTGAAATCAAAAGGAACTCTTCTTGGGAATACTGTAAAAGTGCAAACTCTTCATTTATGCAGTTTTAATATGGTGGAAACAAACAAGTGTAAGATATTAAGTTTGTTTTAAAGCTTAGAAAGCAATTGAAAATGAAATAACATACATATTATTAATGAGTAACTACAGTGAAAAGTGTGCAATTACACGTTAATTAAGTTCTCTCCTTATTATATCTGCAGTGCCTCAAAATGATGTTTTCTCTCTATGTAATCTCCTTTTAGCAACATTTCCTGAAAAAAGCCATAGGTGTAAAGCAGAAACCGTTACGTATTTTCCAACTGGAAAAAGGAAAGAAAATGAAACTACAGTTTTGCTTTTTCTTTTTTTTTTTTAAATCAGGATTTCTACTCAGAAATAAACTGAACTTCAACATGTTTTAATTAAACATCCGTCTGTTTATAATCTTCTACTTAAGTCTAAACTAAATAACAACACTGTCAGAACACAGTAAATTTGAGGAACTGGGATGAACTGTTTCTAGGTAAATGTTAACAGAACCGTTTTCCTTTATACAAAAATAATTACGTTCAGGCAGGGAGCCAGTCTTCTGTGTGCACCATCCCCTGCTGTCCAATTTCTGTAAAATTCAACACCACCTTTCTTATCTCGCTATTTAGGACTTTTTAATTTTTCTGTGCTCAAAGTATAAGCTGCTTCTTGCATTTGCAGCTTTTCATTTATCTCTGCCTGTAAAGAAAATCAGAAGAAAAAAGTGGTTATGATGGAGCTATCTTAGGCTGCACATTGTCTTTGTGGTTTTGACACACTGTAGTGCAGTAACACAGACATTATCCTACACACCTTCCTGTTTTGCAGACGTAACGGTGTTTCAGCCTGTACTTACGCGATAACGCTTTATCGTATTACTGTGCACAATCCCGACGTGTGCTACGACTGCCGTGAACAGGAAGTGATCTGGGACAGCCATTTCTCACGTAACCTTGTCTTGGGAGATAGCTTAATTTGCCTGTATTCTCAGACAGCCCCTACCAATAAACACCAAATCAGAAAAATTGCTTTGGGATTTGGTTGTTGCCACTGTTTTCCTTTGCTGCAGATGTTTCTTCTCTAGTGTAATACATTTTATTGAAACACTGCTGGAATTAGAAAGCGTTACTGAAAATGAACAATAAAAAAACATATTTCTGTGATGTTGCTTGTCTTTCTTAATTACAAACACAATTATGAATGTGTATCTCATTCTGGAAATCCAGACTGCTGTAGACACTGAGTGTTTAATTTGCAAACTAACATTTGTGGGGAAGGTACAAGGGCTGTGACATATTTTAGTGAAATCTTTGGCAGTGATAATGCGTAGCAGTCTTTAATTCTATAGCATTTGGAAATGTGGGATCACTGGAAAAAAGGTCTCAAATTATAGGGGTTCATGGGGAATTTACGTATCCTTCTCAATATCAGCATTCATCACTGCAAAAATACATGAGAAATGGAAGGAGTGCAATGACAGTTTTTCGAAGAGTTGCAAAGTTTTGTTCAAACACCTGGAACAGGCTCAAAGGTCCTTTACAGACTCCACATAAACTGATCCAAAACTTAGAGTTACATTCTAATGGACTTCATGTAATTTTGATAAAGTGAATGGATTTGGCCCAGAAAAGCTTGCGGTAACTTCCCATTTTAGGAACATTTTAGGAACTGCCAGATCTAGAGATTCCTACTAGTGCCATGCTGCAACCTATTAATGGATAACCACAGCTAAAATGTTTTCAAAGTTCCCAGTAGCTCAGGTTAGCATCAAAAAACTGTAATTTCTATCTCAACTTTGTATCTTTAGATATGGCCTTCACCACAGTCAATCCATCCTCAATTATCAACAAATATGTCCCTATCCCTTGACATTATATGTATACTTTGCTGCTTTGCTGTGGAACGCTGATCCTCCAGGCTGATCCTCTCTCAGCCACCCCAGCTGCCTTTTCTTCTCCAGTTTTTATATCCCTCTTTCTCTAATTCCACCTTCAGTGAAAATCAGCTGCCACCATACTCACTGTGGCTGCTGTTGTGATTGCTGAGTGTCAGCACTGTGATTTCAGACTAAGAGTTATTTTCTAGACTCAACTAGTGCAAGAGATGCCTCATGTCCCCTGGAGACGTAAGGCAGATTGTGAAATCACAGTTCACTCATAACAACAAAATGGTATGCGTTTGACCACGTACCAGGTGAAAATCTGACTATAAGATTACCTCAGAGGTCAACAAACTGAGAAATCAGGTGATACATTGGTGGAGGACTTTTAAAAACTGGAAGGAAATTATTTTCTGTGTAGATAACCAGAGTTGCAAAAGAAGAAGGAAAAAAAAAAAAAAAAAAGGCATTTTTCTAATCTGTGCAGTTTTCATAAAGAAAAAAAGCTCTTAGACTGATGCTAATGAAATCAAGGTCTAGTGAAAAACAGGTATTTCATTTTTCTGTAGGTAGGGACAGCAATAAGACAACATAAGCCAGCTTCCCTCCTGTTTCTAAAGTCATGTTGAAATGGAATATGAAATCAAATAGGTAGATTTAACGATGGCATCATTATTCCAATTTATATTCCCCATTCATACATAATCCATGTAAAGCAATTTATTGATACCACACTATTTTCAGACAATATTAGATATTTAATAAACTGCTGCTTCACCAGCAACGTCCAATGTACTGCATCAAAAGTTTAAAGTGCCTAATGCCACCTGGTTGTTGCAAACAAGACCAAATTCCACCAGTCCCTGGCTGGAACTGACTCCTAGCTGGTTTGCTTTCAGTAGTTTCATATGCTTGAGGGAGCAGTTTACAAAATAACAATGATCTACTTGCCGGCTTTCCACATGTTTCAGTTTATAGACCTCCCTGTAGAGAAGCAGATCACCCTACAACAAATATAAGTCCGCTGACAATAGCTTCCTTCCCTTTCATGAACCCCATAGAAAGAACTCATGGACTCCTCAGAGTCTGCAGACCACATACTGAAACCTGATCTGTTCCATTAAGGCAGCTCCTGTAGAGTTATGCACCTAACAACTGAAGTCTAGAATTGGCATAAATGTGTTATTTCTTACACAGATTGAAGGATGTGTAACATAGCTGCATCTAACAATTTATATTAAGCACGCATCACATATGCTCCATCACAGCAGCTGAACCCCCGAAAAGGAATTTTATCACTGACATCACTGAGAGCAGGATTTGGCCCATGTTTCTTAACACATAGTAATGCTGAAGATATATGTTGTTATATTACTGAATATTTTTTACCTTATCACATGTAAGCTGACTAAACTAGGAGTTATTTATAGAGGCTAATTCACATTTTTACAGCATATGGATGTGCTTTTTGCCAGCTTTAGCATGAATACAGTTTATATTCATTAAGGCTGAGCTAGCTAATTAACCATAGACAGAATTAGTGAATAGCTTTCTAGTAATAGTACCTCAAGGTTGCCAATAATTTCATTTGGGATTTCACCCACTGCAGACTTCTGATCTTCAGCAGTGACACCAGCCGCAGCATCTGCCTCGAAGGACTCTGCCTCTGGACAGGGCTCTTCCAGGTAACTCTCTTGATCAGACCCCTAGCAGCAACCAGCCACAAGAAATACGTGAGTTAGAACATCCTCCTGCTCTCCACGAGACCAAACAGCGCCAGCCCAAAGACATGCAACAATACATGAAGCCTGTTTTGGAGAATTCCTGCTCTGACAGAGACCATCAGTGTCTCTCTTTCACTGCCCAGGCCAGGCAGATCCTAAGGTTATGAAGTTGGATGGGGAGAGAGCCCAGAAGTGCTGACTCAAATATCCTCTGTTGACTGATTAATGCAGTAAAAGCAACTTCATTCAGTCTTAGAAGAGAATGTATGCTATATTCTGGGGAATAAATATCATTAGTGACTGGGCTCCAATAGTAATAAATGAGGTAGGAGACTCATAGAAAAATAGCTTTAAAAAAAAAATAAAAGGAACAAAACTCTATACCTTAGATTCTGTCTCTGCAGCTGTTGGTGATATTATGAATGACGAATAAATATCCGAAGGTATGCCTTCTTCTGGCTGAACAGGGAAGGGGGGAACTGCAGGTTGGGCAAGTTCAATCACGTACTGGCAGTATTAAAAAAAAAAAAAAGAAAAAAGAAAAAAGAAAAAAAAGTAATTCAGGTTTAATTATTGCTCAGAGGTTTATTGCAGATTTTTTAAAATGGAAATGAAATGGCTGGCAAACAACAAAAAACAATACCTTTTTTGTTACTATCCAGGTGCTCAGAACTGGAAAGCATACCGAAAATGATTATAGATCAGCTTTAATTTCTAGCTGCATCTCAAGGGGTCCTCTTTATAATACTTGGAAAGAACAGATGATTTTCATAATTTCATAACACTACAGCTTCTTACTCATGTGGATAATTAAGTTTAGAAAACACAGAGCTTGGGTAACATGCAGTTGTCCCAATGCAAATTTGTCACTTCTGAACAGGGAATCTTGTTGCATTTTGGAATTAAAGGGCCCAGTTGACCACCAGGGTATTCTTTCAAAGGAGTCAGCTGGAGTAAAGTTGTAGTGACACTGCATCAAATAAGGCCCTGAGAAAAAAATTTTAATATGTGACTATAATTTAAGAACTGCTAACGGGCTAAGTTTTGCTGCTTCATCAGCTTGCTCCCATTTCTCTTTCCTGTGAACATGGGAACCACACCGGCATTTTGCTGGCGTGTGAACTGCAGCTCCAGGAATGCTCTGACAAGGAAATGGCTTTTCCCCCCTCCCGGAGTAGCTGGATGCAGCACTTAGTCCTTGCTCGGGCTCTCGCGAGTGATGCAGAAGGCAGCCCCGAGTCCTCTAAAGTGACAAGGTTTTGTGTTGTTTTTTTAAAAAAATGGATGACAGAACATACATGCCAAATAAGGTGACAAAAGGCATTTTTGAATGAGCAAGGAACAGGGTGTAATACTAAAATGGTATGTTTGGGGCCTCTACAATGGGAAGTGCCCACTGAGAATACCAGGCAGATGTTCCAGTTCTGAGTCAGCTATTACAAACATGATTTTGCTTGGATGGCGTAAGTCAACCACATTAATTCACATCAGGGTAATTGCAGCTCCCATAAATTAATTTCCTCATACCTTTGAAATCACAGCTAGGCTGATATGTAGTTTATTTAGTTACTTGCTACAGTTAAACATGCTGAAAATATTAAAATTAAAATAGCAAATATTGAAAATAAAGAGTGAGACCTAGCCATTGTACTTTCTTGCATTAAAAATCTCTTCTGTAGTCCGAAAAGCTTTTCAGAAGTTATGTTTGGACTCCACCATTATCTTCAAGATTCCCTGTCATGTGTGAGTTCGCTAAAAAAGGTAGACAGTATTAGCCCATGTTCATAAGAACTCAAAAGGCTGACAGAAAGATTTCCAGAATTTAAGTGAGGAGAAAACCAGATATTATAGAAGCATTTTCCTGTATCACTTGTGACTCAAATTTTACAGCACTGTGCTAGTATTAAAAAGTATTAGCTGAATTGGATGAGAATTCACAATTACTTTCTGCTTCTTTAAAATAACATTTTTTGGTTAGTTAGTTAACTATTCACTCAAAATATTTTCTTTATTTAGATTAAATCATTATTCCATTTATTCTCTCCAGTCCAAATCTCAAAAAATGAAATAATGTAAAAAACTAGACTGGGTTTTTAAAATCAATTCCTGGCTGCTCAAATACGTTCTTGTAGCATGGATAAGATTTTCAGAGGTTCTGTTTTAGAATAATATTTTTACTTCGCTGCGTCCTTTTAAAGAGAGCCATTCTTTACTCATCTGTTCCGTGTCTAATAATAACCCTTGGATCATTAAGAAATAACTAAATTACAGCAGAACCAGTCTTTTTAATGAGCCATAATAGTCTCAACATTCAGCCAAAAGTTTTTTTAAAAGACTGTGAAACTTCAATGTAGAATATGAAGTATTTTGTTGAGTAATAAGAAGTTTATGAGCAGCACTACAGTTTACAGCCAAAATATAGTGACCTAAAAATGCCATTCTGCATTGCTCCTTCCTATACATTGTGTCCTTAACAAGTCCAGGGGAAAATTAGAATGAATGAATTGTGGTGAGAGCCCGAAGCCAACAAACGTATTTAAATGAATCCTTCTGATGCAATACTTTCCTTTAAAAAATACAATTAAGTCTTTGTATTTCCTTTGAACAAAACCTCATGTTTAATAGCACCAATGGCTCTGTAGTAAAATCTATTTAAAAACAGAGAAGGAGACACAGTAAGTTTTATACAGTTACAGTGGCTTTAAAAAACGTTGCTAGCTTCTGAAGTCTGAGTAAATTTATGGTGAATTACTTCCACTGACCTACATTAAAAAATTCATCCTCCTTTTTTTAATTCCTGAAGATTTGTCATTATGTGAGCATTATTCACTATGACAAAGATGTATTACTCAAAGTGTCCTCTTGAATCAATATAACTATCGAAATGTGAGAAACAGTTTGGCAAGATGATAATGCTTTAAAATTAATTGGCAATATTTTCCTGCACATTGCGGTCCAATGGGTCCATGAGAATTGAAACATAAAGAAATCGTAAGGCAGTTGCACAAATGTAGAGGGCATATCAGTGTCAGCTGCAGATAAAAGGATGCTCCGAAAGAGACTGGAGGGAGCAGAAGTTAAATGTAATATTCTTACTAACTCCTAGGTGCGGTGGGGTGCCAAAAGGCCACTTGAATCTGGACAAATTAGAGCAGGCTAGAGGCTCCTCTAACATTCAGCAGAGGTTAAAGCGGGAAATATCATTCAGCATCCCCTTTACTTTCCCACCTAAGTTGCATCAAGCCTCGGCGTAGCCACAGCTGAGGACTGTAGCTGGTGTTCAAACATTGCTCTCAATGTGCAGCCCCATGCCACAATTTTTCTCTGGAATTCTTTCCAGTAAAAGTATAAAAAGCGTCATGTTGTTCTGTACATAAACCCACATACTATTCTTCTTGTTGAGAGCTAGCAAATTACCTTTTTACAAATGTAGGCAGAGCAAAGACAATAAAATAGTACACAGGAAAATTTCTAAAACAGAATAATGGCAGGAAAGAAGATTGGTAAAGCATTCTAATAAACGAGTTCCACAGATGTGGTAGTTATTATAAAATTAGCTTTGCATAACTTACCAATATACCATTACATTTTCCCCCAGATGTTATCTGTTACTTAAATTAATTTTGCTTAAGTTATTATTATTGCAGATTTTATCCATGCTGTATTTTATTATTTAAGTTTCTGTGGCATAAAACAAGCCCTGGCTGATAGCACTACTTTTAATAATATATGTACGAGGTTTTAGTTTTATACAAATGGCTGCTGGGTATATCTTAATAGTCATAGCACAGAACGTCTGCTCTCAAAATATTATGTAGATTAAAACCAGCTATTTACTTACACTCTAATTCAAGTCATTGGAAACGTTTGCAGTATTTATGTATGTGGTATGAAGGGAAACAATCTACTCGGGGAATAAATATCAGAGTTTGGAAATTAGCAAAGCTAAGGTCAAGGTCAGTTTGGATTTACTAACATACTTGCTGAAAATTAGAATTTATAGTTTATGCTTACTTATTTCATAAATGAGAAAAGAGACTGAGGGAGTGATGTATTTGCCTCTTTGGTACAAGGCTTTTGTGTCATAGAAACATTTTAAAACCACCTTTTCAGCTTAATATTTTCTGAAATTCTGTACTCCTCTCCACACAGTCTTAACATAAATTCTCTGTAGCTCATCTTACCCAACATAGGAAAATAATTATTTATAAGGATTGGAAAAAATATCCCACATTCAGCATGGAGCATTTCTAAAGCCTTGTAACATCTTTCAAAGCCTTTCAATGGATATGGATTTGATTTTATACGAATGACAGATGCATCTAAAAAAGGGTGTTCTTTGTGTGTTATTCTCTATATTCATATCATCTGTGTAGTTTCTAATTGTATGCCAAAGGACCTTATGCTACCAGAGACCTGCACAGACTTCTCTCTTACATAGGATGATATGTGAGATTTGCTATGAACCAAAATATTTAATATAGGATTTACATTAGTTTGCCATTCATGCTAAGCATGCCCAGCTGCACACCTACAAATGCGGTGAATTTCAGTTGCTGGAATAAAAGGCACAAGATGTGATTTGTTAGCTGCCTGTATTTCATGTGGTTGAATTTGAATGAATAACTAATGGACAGAGATGCACGGTCTCACGCTGACTCAAACTAGCCTGCCTTTCCCCCCCCCCTCCCCGCTCTTCAACCTGCCAGCATATGCAAACACAACAAACCCACCCTAGTTGCCTCCTGAGGCATCGCCCACCAGCGTTCTCACAGGTGAGGAGGTTTCTGGGAGGCTGCTGATAGCTCTACAAACACATTTGCCATCCTATTTTGCAGCAATGCTATACACAAGGTCCAAAGAACCGAATGATATTACAAAGCACTCAAAAACTTAATCCAGATACGTGATCTGTGCAATGTGACTAAGATGGTAGAAGTTCCTTCTGAACGCCTTCACTGTACACGTTTGTATTAATATTTAAAACAGAATTAAGACCAATGAGGGACTAAACTTGGCCTCTGAAGTATGTTCCCCAGTTGCCAATGATGCACATGGAAATTCTGTGTGCATGTTCCTAGGCAGGAATTTTCAAACCACTGTTCCTTAAATGAGACAAAAGTTCAGTAAGTCAAAGGTATACTTTATGCTCTTTTTCCTGCATTTTAGAATTCAAGTTAATATGTTTTAAAAAGAGTTTTCCACGTTTCTGAGCTGAGATGTGAATCAACTTTGTTGACAATACATCAGTAATTAATCTAGTTCAAAATAGCTATCTGAAGCAATTTGGTGCCTACATTGACAAAACAGGATCTACTCCTCCCCCCAGGAAGCTGTAAATCAGTCAGTGACATCTGGCCTCAAGGACATCAGAGTCATCTGAAATGTGGTAATTTATATTAATGAACATCAATATTAATTTTTAAATAAAAAGAATTTGCTACTGCCATTATGTTTACATACGGAATATTATTTATAGCTTGCGTTCCTCCTTTCCTACATTTTGC